CTTTGTAAATAGGGAAGGGAGAGCTAGAAATGGGGAAAAAATAAGAACCAAGATGCATTATGTAAAGGTACAATTCCCAATGAGAAATGTAGTTGTGTTGTATACCTACAATGTACCAATAAAAGAATAAAAAAAATTTTTTTTAAATTGTCCTCCTTTATGATCTAAAAACAAAGTTCAGTGCTACACTTGTCATATATACCTAATACTTCAACATGTAATCAGTATTTTAAAATGTACTGAGATATCTTCCATTCATTTCTTCATACTGTTTTTGAATTGTAGCATGTATTTTTATATTCATAGAACACTTTGCTTTAGATACAAAATCTTCATCACAAATATGATCTGCATGTTGCTTCATAAAATGTACAGTTTGCTATTGTTTGAATATGGAAGGTGTCCTTCAAAGTCAATGTGTTCTGCCTCAGCCTCCAGAGTGCAGGGACTGCAACTGTGTGCCAACGCGCCCAGACTCATCATTGTTTGTATGTAAGGAAAACAAGTAAAGCAAATGTTTTGTTAAGTGATGTGTCCCAGTGCACTTGGCCTGGGGCCATGTGTTTGAAACACAGTCCGCCCCATGGATTTATTCTCTTTCCGTTCCTCCCAAGGATTTACCTTTAAACTTGGTGGAAATTGCTGTAGGTTCAGCACTTACTTGGAAACTGAAAATCTGTTTGGCAGGAGGTGGAAAGTGATTGCACTAGGAAGATTGCACGCTGGTATCAACAGTAAAAGCGCTGGAAGGCTTAGGTGTGAAAATATCGACGAATTCTCTTGTCTTACTACAATCAGATGAAGATGGTGTTGACAAATTCTGAGCAATTTTTAGTTTTTTCTCTGTGCACTAAATGTCAAGGCGTAAGTGGCTTTGAACTGTGCACCTGTCGATTCCTAGGCAAACATGGTAACCACTACACCACAGATTTGCACACAAAGGAGGCACTCGTTAATGACTGTTAGGAGCCAGTGCCTGGCTGGCCGCAAGGCCCGTGAATGTGAACGGAGGCCCTAGCGGTGCACAGACAGAAATGGCAGCTGCCTGCAGCTCTGCACTCGGCCTCTTAAGGGGACAAGGCGGCGTCTCCACTCTTCTACCCGCACTTCTTCTCTCCCTCCAATCCCGATGCGCCTTGGTCATTGTTCAGGACAAAACTATAAAAGCAACAGGAAAAAAGTACAGGCTCATCTGAGATTTGAACCCGGGACCTCTCGCACCCAAAGCAAGAATCATACCCCTAGACCAATGAGCCAGCTGATCCCAGAGGCTGTTCATCTGTCATCTGATTGGAAAATGAATCTTTCATTCGCCTAACAAATGCATTTCATTTCTGACAATTTAGCGCTACCTTTAGGGGCTTGAAGTCTCACCCCAACCTACTTCTGCTCAACCTCATGTCTTTGATTATTTTGTCAACTGATTATTTTGGCATGGCGAAATGCTCAGTGTTCCTCAGTCCCTCTGAGCTCTTGGGGACTACGGAGCAGCGGGCAGGGCAACCATGGTCCCTCTGCAGAGCGTGATCATGATCCAGGGGTGGATCTGAGGTTCAGGCGGGGCACAGAGGCTGGGAGAGCCAAAGGGCTCAGAGGAGGGAGCAGCACCAAGAGGGGACGAAGGCGAGCTGGGTGGTGAGCCACGCAAAGTGTCTCTCCAGCCCGGGTGCCCAGTAAAGGGAAGATCTTTATCATTTCATGCAAATATAAGAAGCAATACACACTTACTTGCAAAATGTTCAGAAAGTGTAGGTAAAGATCCAAGCCCTGTCCTAGAGGTGACTCTGGCTGGCACCGTTCATGTGCAGCCTCACCAGGGCCAAAGCCCTGGGCCTAGCCCCTCTGGCCCCTGCTGCCCTCCTTGTTCAGGATCTGGTTTCACCCAAAGGAGTTTAATTGCGCTGGATTACTTAGTAGTAGAAGATAGTAATTCAGATCCCCGGGCATTAAATTAGCAATAATTCATTCAGTGGTGGGCCACCGGTTTATTTCTATGTCACCAGCACAGCAATTTCTTACACCTATGACTGTTAACAAAGTTGTGTGGATCACATTTACAACAAACTGATTCCGACAGAAGGCACCAAGAACATACCCTGGAGTAAGGACAGCCTTTTCAATAAATGGTGATCGGGAAACTGGATAGCCATATGCAAAAGAATAAAACTAGTTACAAAAATCAACTCCAAAAGGATTAGAGACTTAAATATAATGCCTGAAATTATGAAACTACTAGAAGAAAGCATAGGGGAAATGCTTCCTGACATTGGTCTGGGCAAGGACCTCAGAAGCACAAGCAACAAAAGCAAAAATAAACTCTTGGGATTACAGCAAACCAAAAATCTACACAGCAAAGGAAACCATCAATAGAGATGGACTACAGAATGGGAAAATATTTTCAAACTATGCATCTGACAATGGATTAATGTCCAGAATATATAAGAAACTCAAACATCTCAGTAGCAAAAAAAAAAAAAAAACCAATTAAAAAGAAGCAAAATAACAAATATCATCAGGGAAATGCAAATCAAAACCACAATGTCCTCCCAAAGTCTCATGTGTTCAGAGGTGGAGCCGGGTGGGAGGAGGTGGGTCACCAGGGTCATGACTTGGAAGGGTGTATTCTTGTCCCTAGCTCCTTCCTTCTCTCTCTGCTTCCTGGCTGCCATGGGTTGCACAGCTTCCCTCCACCAGGCCCTTCCACTGTGTCTTTTCTGCCTTGGAGCTAACTGACCATGGACTTAATTCACTGAAATTGAGCCAAAATAAACCTTTCCTCCTTTAAATTCTGGTACCAGTTTTTTGTTACAGCAAAGGGAAAGTGACTAATGCAACACATTTTGAGTTATCATATTGTATCCCATCAGAATGTGTAATTATAGCCAGGCATAATGGTGCTCACCTATAATCAAAGCACTCTAGGAAGCTGAAGCAGGATTGAAAGTTTGAGCCCAACCTGGGCAACATAGCAAGACCCTGTCTCAAAATAAAAAGTAAAAAGTGTGACAGTCCTGGGGTCAATTTCCAGTACCACAAAAAAGACAAAAAGAGTACGTACAGTTATTATGTATCAATAGAAAAATAATAAATAAGACATTATAAAAAAAAAACCAAAGTCAATGTGTTAAAGATTTGATCACAAGAGTGGTGGCATTAGGAAGTGCTGTGGAACATCGGAGAGCGGGGACTAGTGGAGGGAACTTGAATCATTAGGGACATATACTTGAAAGTGACTACGTGACAATAGACTCTTCCTTTTTCTCCATCTCCTGGCTTGAGATGTAAGCATGTGCTCTAACACCTGCTCCTGTCATGATGTATTGCTCTCCCCAGAGGCCCAAACCAACAGGCCTGTCTGATTTTAGGCTTGAACCTCAAGAAACAGGAACCAAAATAATCCTTTTCTCTGTATAAATTTGGTCTCCTCAAGTATTTTATTGTATTACCATGAACTCAATACAGTTTTAAAAAGCAGATACCAAGTTATTCCAAACATACAAAAGTTTTCCAAAAACAAACAAAAAATGTTCCTCCTTTAATAGTCACATTCACAGTAACAAAATAGTTTCATCCCATTTAGAATAATTTGACTTTAATCAGTTATTTGATTCTGCAGGTATCAGTTTCAAAACTATGTCCAATTCAGAAACTCCTCTGTTAACTCAGTATTATTAATATCAAATCCTAACCCTAACTATGAATTAATATCAACATGGGATAAAACTTAACCCTATGTTGTTTTTAGAATCAATATAAATAACAATGTTGAAAATATTTAAATTCTCCTGCACATTAATTTATATTAAAATTTGCAAATAATTACTATTGAGTTGTATTTTTAAAGGTTTCAGTTTTAACAAAAACTTTTGTGTCTAAATCACAAGTTTCTCTTTCCGTAGACTTTAACTTAGTTTATTCATATGGAGTGTGATATTGGTGAGAAAATAAAAATCATATTGACATTTTTGTCTTAAATCACTGGATACATGGCAAACATAGCATGTGTGTGATAATACAAGAACTTGAAAATGATACATAAAGAATTCCATGTACCCTTTATCTAGCTTCACCCATTAATTAGATCTTACATTACACCACAGTATATTGTCATAAATCAGGAAATGACTTACAATGTTATTAACTTAGCTACAGAAAAATCACATGTGTAGTTCAAGTAAATATGACCAGTCAGGTTACAGAACTATGTCGTCATCACAAAGGAACCTCCTCATTATTAAGCCACAACAGTCACACATTGGCCCCCAAACTTAATACCTTGGTAAATACAGACTTGGCTTCATTACTATAAATGCTGTCACTTTCAGAATGTTATATAGACAGAATCAGAGACTATGTAGCCATCTGGAGTTGAATTTTTATGCAGCATGATGCACTTGAAATCAATCCAAATTGCTGCAAGTATCAATTTTTCACTTCTTTTTATTTCGGGGTAGTATTCTAATGTATAAAAATCAGTTTATTATGCATTCAGTCAATGAAAGACAGCTGGATTGTTTCTAGTTTTGTTCAAATAAACCTTCTTCAATGAACATTCATTTACAAGTTTTTACACAAATATAAGCTTTCATTTCTCTACGATAAATACTCAACAATGTGACTGCTGGGTCATATGTTATTTTTTCCAACTGTTCCAACCAGTTTTTCCAACTGGTCAATTTTTCCAACTGTTATACTATTTTACATTCTCAACAGCAACATGAGAGGTCAAGATCCACATCTTTGCCTTTACTAGGTATAATGAGTAATTTCTACTCCAGTTTTTCTAACAGATTAAATAGTAATATCTCAGTGTAGCATTACTTTGCATTAGGCTAAATGCCTAATGACATGGAAAATGTCATGTGGTTACTGGTTATTCCCACATCCTCCTGGATGAACTATCTTTGTAGTCTTCTGCCCATTTCGACTTCAATTGCTTTAATATTGGACAGTTTAGAGAGTTCTTCATATATTCTATGTGCATTCTAAAAGTCTTTTAAGGGATATACAATTTGCAAAAATGTTCTTGCACTTTATGGTTTATCTTTTCATATTCTTAACAAAGTCTCACACAGCAAAAGCTTTCAGTTTTTATTAAGTTTCAATTTATTTTATTTAGCTTCAATTTATCAAGCTCTTTTGCGGATTGTGCTTTGAGTGTCCCTAGCCCAGTAACAGCAAACCTTTTAGAAAGTGAATGCCAAACTGCAACCCAAAACCCATTTATTAATTGCAAAGTGCCAATACCATAATTAAACCTGAAAACAACTCACACATTAACATCTTTTGTCTTAAAAGAAAAAAGCGATAATAAGCACGTCATAGGTTCACCACCACTACTCTAACCAGTCTATTGTCTTTTCCCTAACTTTTGGAGTTTTCTAATGTGTGATTTATTTTTTGTTGTTGTCATTACCAGGAGTAAAATGCAATGTGTTAATCCATCTGGTCCAGAATTCAAACCTAAAATGGAATGTATTTAGTGTATTTTTTCCAGAACTCAAATTATGTTAATTATTTTCAGAGGAAATATTACAATTATTTAAACATCCCATTATCCTCAACTCTCCAAGTTTCTAGTAAGATTTTATTCATTTTTTTCTTTATTGAGTTTCAATTACATTTTCAAATAAACTGCTAGCCTAGTAAAGTGGTGTGTATGACATATTCTTCAAGCTTAATAGCTGTAAGAATATATTACTATAATTTCTTGACTTTTAGCCAATATTAGAATTTTTTTTTTTTTTTTTGGTACCGGGGATCAAACTCAGGACCTTGGGCTTGAGAGGCAGGTGGCGGAACCACTGAGCTAAATCCCTGACCCAAGAATCTTAAACAATACAAGTTAAGCAATTTTAAAGTTTTTAATTCATTCAGTAAACCCTTCCTTTATTAACACATCCAAAATATAGCAATCTTAAACAAAGCTAAGATTCCTGGTATTATGGAATTTACATTCTAGTGACCCAAGTAAGGCATACAAATAATTTTAGAAGAAACCAGCCTACTGGGCTTCACTTAATTTGAGGAACAAATATTTAGTAAACAGAAAATATTCACAGAAATTTCAAATTACAGAATTGGCACGGGTGAGATAATTTTTTTTTTAGTTGGTGCAACAGAACTTCAATGGTCTAAAAAAGTATAACTACTTACCACATATAGTTGTTTCCACAGACTGGCCCATTCTTGTAGCGTTGCTGTAACCTCAGTCACAATAGAATCTTCAAGTGGTACCACAGTTTCATACTGCCTA